ACAGCACAACTTTTTACCACAACTCAAGGAGTATGGCATTCTTTTGTCACATACCTCTTAAACATATGTGTTCTGCAGTTTGTCTTACATCAAAAAACACTTTTTAATGCAATGCAAAAAGACATTCAAAAGACAGTATCAGAAGCTATAAGTCACTTAGTTTGGAAATAAATCTACAGAATTCCACCAGAGTAGCAGAAATAAAAAAGCTCCTTTCGAATGCCAAGGCCAAATACACAATACTCTATAGGCATGGTATTTGCTATGCCCTTTACTGGCAGATTGATTTTCATGTTCTGACTAAACTAGCAGTTAGCAACATTACACTGCTGGTTGGATAACAATGACAGCCCAATTAGAAAGCACAGTCAATGAACAGGTCAGGCAGCCAGGGTCCAGATATCCTAAGCAAGACTAGGCCTTTCAGTTTGTAAAACTTTCTGTTGACCCTTTCCTCATCATAAGTGACCCACCACAAAAACATGTCAACATTTTGTGAAGAAACAAAACAGAAAATAAACTATAACTTATCCAAATAAGCAAACAGCATAAGCAAACTTTTTGAGGAATTGTCAGCATAGGAAAGAAAATACATGGGTAATAGGGTGATTTCTGATTTCCCCATAAATATGTGTACTGTACTGGTTGTTGGATTTGGGGAAATGTTTTTGGGTAGCCTGTATGAATCAGGCACATAACAATAAGATATATTTTGAAAACTTAGAACCACCAAAACTAGAAAACGTATTATTTAGGCTGTATTATTTAGCCTCCTTATCTTTCCATATAAACACAAATAATTTTGAATTTTTGCTTGATCCCACTTCAAACTCATATATATGTAATTATAATATAAAAATACTTCCGTATGGATTTGAGGTTATGCATCCTGAATGCAGGCAACAGAGATCTGTCGACATACGACATATACAAAGTAGATGAATGTATGGATCAGGAAGGAAACTACATAAATTACTGTGCTTTTAAACTTAAAGGGGGGCAGATAGGTTGTTTTTGATCAAACTTACAGTTCAACTCTACAGACCCAGTATTAGCCCAAGGGCTGTGAAATCTAGTATTGATCACACATGAAACACATCTTTGGAGACAAAGTTCCCACCCCTTCCAAATAAACAACAAGGTCCCCTTGAACTTTCAAAATGGCCAAGATCTTTCCTGAAGTCTACTGATCTTTTTTTTACTTAAGACAGATCTCTTTGTGATAGTGTGGGTTTTATTGTCATAAATATAGCTTTTCAATGTCACTGTTACTATCTTCATAAAAACACCTTGGCTATGCCTTTTTGCAAAATCCTCTTATGTTCAGAAATGCCTGTCCTTACATCATTTCATGCTCTCCTCACGTCTTATCACTGTTTCTTCTAGCATTATCTAATCTCACCTTTTAGTTTAACCTTGAACCTAGCTAGACTTGATGTTCTGTGTGAGCAAGAACAGTTCTCAACTTTTATTCTGTCATACATCCTCAGTTTCCAACTCCCATGGTTGACTAGTTTTGTCTTTGCTATGCTGCACCCTTTATAAGAGATGGCCTTATTTGCCTCTAATCTCCATGGTGACTTAATGGTTTTACATAAATAGCAAATGCAAACAATAACAACATGTATTACTGCTCATTAAGCTCCTTTCGAAATTGTGTCAGTGATTTTTGTTGTATAAGAAGCAATGTCAGGGTACCATTACAAAATCTAGGAACAGCATTAAATAAAAAAGTACAAATGCATTGAAGGTATGTGCATGATGCTGTTTTCTGAACTGCAGTGTAGGCACATCTGAAATCTGCTTGCTCACACTACAGAAACTATTTATTAGCATCTGTATATAACACATCATCACCACAGGGAAAGCTAGTTTAAAATCATAAATGTCAAGACATAATTAACTTAAAGGTCAGGTTTAATTACAGTTGTTGAAACTGAAATATACTAATTACCATTACTATGTCAGAAAATTTCTTAAAACGATTTGAAATGTTTTGTTGGTGCACGTACTTTTCTAAAATTGACATCTTTTGTTCCATGATGGAGATGTTTCAACGGGCATTTTTTTACTAACTTTTAAGCAGAAAGAGAACAAAACAGAAAACCAAGGAACAAAGCACCACCACAAAGCTCAACAAAACCTATTCTCTGCATTACAATATTATTAATTACTTTCTTGTAATTGACACTTTAGAGAATCATTTAGATAATGGAATTATTTCGAGAGTCTGGTGCATGGATGAAACAGATTTAACTATGTGGCTCTAAGGTTTAATGACAAAACTAATCAATAAGTGAAACAGACTGGTAAGAAAATAACTCAATAACTGAAAAATTTTCTCTACCTGTAGGATTTACCAAGGATTCTACTGGGAATAGCTATTGAGTCACATAAGTATTTTAGTTCTCTCTTTCCCCAAAGATACAGAAAGTTTGAATGCTGTGATTTCATTCTCTTTTGTTATCTAGTGTTTATTCTCCCCTCCCAGCCACAGCCAGGAGTTCCAGCTTATCTTTTCCTATACTATTAACAGAGCGATAGACATATTTTTTTCCCCCCGAAGAAGCCATTCCAAGCTAGGTAGAATGCAGCAGAGAAAAGGTTAAGCTATATAAAGCTCATTTCCCCCCAACAGCATAGATTTAGCTACTGTATAGCCCCCATGCAAAAATTCAGAAGTCTAAAAGTGAATATAGCAGATGACTCTGGAGGAAAATATCACTAGCTGATGAAAAGAGGCCATCAAACACGCTGATAAAAGAGACATACTGGTTTATTAAGTTTCATTCATCCTACACCTGAGGTCCTGGGTTGTAACAGCTGCCCCATGCTGTGAAGGGTTCCAGTGCCCTCCAAAGTACACTAATCACCTAAGATCAGCAAAAAATATTTCTACTATTTCTGGAGGAAATCTTTCTACTCAGTAAGTGGGCAGCCCCCTGCCCCTTTCCCCCTCCTTTTTCGCAAGCCCCAGTACTTAGTGCTTCACATAGAGCAACAGAAAAGAGCTCAAAAGTCTGAACATAAGGAATATAGACATCAACTGAAAGAGTGAAGGATGGTCTCAGGTACACAACACAAGTGTAGTAGAAAAGTGGCTAGCAGTTCAGAAACCACCAAAAGAAAAACCTTGACTGTGATACTGCCTTACATCTCAATAAATGGGTAAGGATGGCATTTAATTAAAGAGTGCCTGCCTCCCAGGTACTGATGACATTGAAATCAATGTGGACAGACAGTATTAAGGATGGCATAACCCAAAAATTCTCTTATTTAAGATTTGCAGCTAACTGTTAGAGAAAAGTGAAATTTATTAAAGGCTTCCATCTGGCAGAATGTATCATTAGTATTCAAACTGATAGCAGCAGTGATTTAAATTTAATAATCTGAGTGGAGATATGCATCAAAAAAAGAATTCTTCTAAAATATATCTAATAGCAATAACTGACTTCTTTATTACAGTCTACCTGTGAAAAATGCCAGATATCAAAGAATAAGACATCAAATGTTAATTTCAGTGTGTTCTTCCAGTTGAAACTCACATTAAAATAATGTAGTTGGTGCGAATCAAGTAGCACAGACTGTACTTGCTTGTCCCTTCCTTGAGGGAGATTTGAAACATCGGGGCCCAGAAAAAGCAGGATATTGCCCTTATGGAAGGGAGGTTGTACGAGTGAGGTGCCCCAGCACCGGCAGTGGGGGCTGCAGAGGTGGCCGCTGTGAGAAGCAGCTGGGGCTGCCCCAGGCCAGCTACAGCTGATTCCTGTTGTTCCAGCCACTGGCTCCAATGCAGGACACAGCTGAGCCCTGCAGCCACAGGTGTGGCACCTCTGGGAAAATGTATTTAAGAAGGGGCAAAACTCACTCCAGGAAAGAGGAGCAAGTTAAAAACAAGTAAGTGTGAGAAACAGCTCTGTGCACACCAAGGTCAGAGAAGGAGGAGGGAGAGGAGCTGCTCCCAGTGCTGGAATCAGAGATTCTCCTGCAGCCCATGGAAGAGACCATAGCAGAACAAGTGTCTCCCAGGAGCCAGTGGAAAAGAGCATGCCAGAGCGGATGTCCAGATGTCCATACTGCAGCCCAGGAGACCCCACAAAAGAGTAGCTGGATATTCCCTAAAGGAACGGCAGCCTCTGGACAGCTCATGCTGGAGCAGGTTCTCCTGATGGGAGCCACAGCCCATAGGAAGGCCCCACACTGGAGCAAGGGAAAAGTGTGAGGAGGAAGGAACAGAAGAGAAGTGCTATGGACTGACTCCTGCCCCCATTCCCCATCTCCCTGCACAGCTTTGTGGGTGGGAGAGATGGACGTGTCAAGAGGGAAGGAGTAAAGCTGAGCCTGGGAAGAAGTGGTGGAGGCTTCTGGGGAAGGAAGTTTAGTTTTTGTCTTTTTTTCTCACTATCCAACTCTATTTTAACTAGCAATGAATTATAGTAATTTTTCCTCAGCCAAGACTCTCTTGCCTCTGATGGCATTTGGTGATTTCCCTGTCCTTAACTCAACATATAAGCTTTTGCATCCTATCATCTCCCCATGTCCTGTTTACAAGGAGAAGAGAGTGGCTGGGTGGGTACTTGGCAGCTGGCCAAGGTCAACCTAATCATGTATTTTTATGGGGAACATGTCCTTTGAAGCTGTACTCCCATACGTGAGAATTATGCTGAGTAAATTACATGTAACACAGAAAGATAATTACATTTTTGATTTTATTACAAGTTGTATTCTGTCCTTGCTTTAATTAATTGTATGAAGTTACTGCTCTGCTTTCAATTTATACATTTGAGGTTTCATTTTTTTAGGTAATATCCACCTCAGTCTCATATTAAAGAAACATTTTATACATCATTCTTTCAGCTCTATCTTAATATGGGATTCAGGAATAGCTTGCATGAACTTAAGGTGACAAAACAATGAACCAGCAGAGCAGTTTCTCTGTTAATATTTACAATGGATGCCAAAAAACCACTCCAAAAGCTGCAGATAGAGTCATTGCTCTACTACCTAGCAGGTGAACAAGGGAACAGACCATTTTTTGGGGGGAGAAAAGTAAACATGAAAATTAAGGCAAAGTGCAAGCATCACAAATTGAAGAGGTTGGAGAAAAAATGTTGTATTCATTATAAGAACAAGTATAAAGTAACTACCCTGTGCATAATTTACATCATGGGTGTTGCGCAAACAAAAATATCCACAAAATCTTACCCTTTTAATGATTTTTTTTCTTAATTGCAGATTAATGGGCTGGTAATTTGTCCCTGTGATCTGCTTTTAAAAGCTGAGCAAGAAAACACTAGAATGCTCCAAATATGCTGTTGGTAAGAAGCCAAGCTAAGGTTCTTTAAATGTTCCATGGCCTTCTCGCAGGAAGGAAGGCACTAGTTCTGAATTGGAAATGTCACTACAAGGGATAGATATCAAGACATTTATCTCTTTGTGTCTCTTAGCTGAGCAGAGGTGAGCACAGCCAGAGCTTGAAGGAGGAAGGCTTTCACAGTCATCAGGCAACTGTACAAAGAAACCTGGGCACATCTAACAGGGGCTGGGGGTAGGGAGTGCATGTGTGATGGTGACAAAGACCCCTCAGTCCCTGCTCCTCCTCCCTCTGGGAGCTGTTAATGTGTAGCACTACCGAAAAAAAAAACCACCACCATATTTTACTTTTTTATTACTTTTCCTAGGCCTTTTTTCCCCAGCAATGAATGTGGACTCCTATGAGCTAATCTGAAATCCAAGTATACCAGAAAAACAAGTTTTGATTTTCATTTAAAACCTCTGAAAATATACACTCATTTCATTTTTTAAATTTCAGGTTTTGAAAGCCATTTTGATTTCATCCCATAATGTTTTCTTCCAATTGATGCATTTTAAGCACATCAGTAGAAAAGTTTTAATTTTTATTATAAATGAGAATGATTTGTTGTATCCTTCACAAGAACTTGATAAACAGGAAAAAGTCTTTTTTGCTTTGGTCTGTGTCAAATTCAGAGGAGAAAAAAAGCAATTCAGATTCTTCACCACTATTTATTCTGCAATACAGTACTATACAGCAGCTCTGAAGGTGCTCATACTATTCCATATATACATCTCAGCCAACAAATCACAAAGTTTCCATGCAGTCTTTGAACTCAAAAGCTCATTATCTTATACAAACTAGACATTGAAAGCTGAGGCATTGTTAGGGAAATAATGGATGATGTTACACTGGGAAGAGCAAGTGCTTAAAGAACACAGGATTGCCAAGAATACATGGGGAATGCAGTCATTCCAGATGATGCCTCAGAGCTTTTTGCATTTTTTTAACTTTTGTAGATTTTAGAAGTAGTTGTGTAGTAAATGTAGATTTTCATGTAGCTGTATTGTATCCCTTACCCTGTAGCATAATGTTTACACATACCCAACCTTATTAACCCATTCCGTATCAATGCCTCTAATTTCTGTAAATGTGTTTAGTCTTCTTTTCAAGGCAGAATTGTAGAAAAGCCTGGACCAGAAGATATCACACAGACACAGCGACCTTCAAGCCCAGAACTTTGGAGGAGCTCCAAGGACTGTATGTGCTGCAACAAAGATGAAGATGAGGAAGAAGGGGTCCCAAAGACCCCAAACCCAATTCTCAGAGGGGCGTGTCGGGGGGCAGAACTGGGCAGAGCCAGTGAGTGGACAGATCTCAGATTGGATAGACCTTGTTATAAAATCATAGAACCACTCTCTGGGAGGCGCGCGTGACGTGTATTCCCCTGTCCTGAGGCTTCATTAAAGGACCTACTCTCTTTATCTTATCTTATACACTAAATTGGCCTGGAGTCTTTTTCTCCACACTCTTTTTAGGCAACAAGATAATAATACCAAATTCTTAAAGTCACTGAAAATATTCCTCACTGAAAATGTTCTTCACAGTGGCAGATCTCAGCTTTGCACAATTTAGAGCTTCTCTGCCAGACCCCAAACCATAGTATGAGAAGATTTTACTTTACAGCCAAGGAAGATGCACCCTAATTGACTCTGAGTCAATTATGGTGTGAAAATATTGGGCTATATTTGATTTTGAAGATTTTCTTATTCCTTGTAAAAATAATTATGAAAAAAAATTATGTAAAACTCTAGGAATAAAACTATATTGCTCCAACTAAACTCCACTTTGTAGAACTATAACTAATTCATATTCAGCCAACCATCATGTTCCATGCACAACTGTGTATGTCTCTCTTTAGAAAAATTCATTAAAAGAAAAAAAGTATGGTGGTAGAAGTATAGTATTCGTAAAAAGTAAGCCTAAGCAGTTCAGCCCTGCTAACTGCCATGGCTTCTTCACAAATCTTTGTCAGCCTTTCATAAAATTTTATTGCACAATTTTTACCTTTTCTTAAATCCCCAAAGATGATGGAATCAATAATAATCTCATCTTTTCTTGAAAAAAAATATTGTTCAAGACTAAGTAGAAAAGCTATAGGGGAGAATCATCCTTTAGCACACCAGAAATTACAAGATAAATAGAATCAAGTATGTATTATGTTAAAATAAAGTCTCAAGATATTCATGCCACATGTGTGATTACTAAATGTGTGACATCAGTGATATTGAAGCAGGGAATTTTTCTTTTGTAACATCAGAAATGCAGAAATGCTCACTTCGTTTAAAACCATAAAAAGAAGAACTCATAGAGCTGGGACAGGTGAAGATACCCACAGGTTTTTAGTACCGCCAAAATAAAAATAATGGGATGCCCAATAGGAGTGCATGCTTCTGCTGTATGCTCATACAAATTGGATAAATCCTCTTCTGGACAAATTAGGACGGGACATAACCTGCTTACCCTTGACACTCAGTGAGACTTCATGCAGTAACATAAACATAAGCAAGATATGTGCCCTCTGAAGTTCAATGAATATGATAAAACTCTGTATTATTATTAAATCCCTAGTCTAAGGAATCTTACACTTCTACAATGGAAAATTTTGAAACATGAAATTTGTAAACAAAGTAACCTAAAAAACAACCTTCTTTGGATTATTGGTTGCAGCTCAAATTTCAAGATAATATATATGGGAACACAGAGCCAGATTCATCAGTTTTATTGACTCATTAATGTAGCTCTGAATAAATGAGATTTTGTGTGTAGATTTAGCTCGAATGATAATTGCTAGGATCAACAGTGTGATACGTATTTAAACCTGGGACTATTGCCACTGAATAAATGAAGGAATCATTACTGGTTAATCTTTGTAGGACAGTGTGTTCCTGCTTGGACCACAAAGTATCAGCAATAATTTCTGCAATGACTGGAAAAAACTCCATCATTTACAATCATAGGAAGATTTTACCATTTTGCTGAACCAGAAATAGAGTAAAATTTTGAAATATTTTCTGAGCATGCTATAGCTAAAAACAACAGCAGATAATGTAGGACAGAACTGCCCAAGTGCTTTAAAATGTAGACAACGTTTTAGTGCTGTGATGTAGACAACATCACAGTCAGTATTTTTAGAAGAATGTGTGTTTTATAGATTATTTCCATTCCTTTTACTGTTAGTCCCTAGAATAAGAAAAACTATCAGAAGGTTCTTATACAGGAATTGGTTTCTTTGGTCTGTAATCAGTAGTCACAATCTAAAACAATTTTTTTAATCCTCTGCTCTGGAATATTTTTTATAACAGGTGTTAACTAGATTTGTGGTCTATAATGTCGTTTATTCTTAATTTGTGGGCTATAATGTCATGTCTGCACTCAGTTGTAGACAGCTGCAATTTGGAGTATCCAAGTTCAGGATAACAAAATAATCTGATTAAATAAGGCTTTTCTGAAAAACAGTTTTTACTACAGCTTGAAAATTAAAAGAAAATTGGAATAAAATGGTAGAAAACTTGTACACCATGCTTGAATGGTAGAAGTTATTGGGTCCAGACTAGATTTTCTCATGTGAGGGAGAGATATCTCCCCTGATTCAGGCCAGAGATGTTAGCAGTGTTTCCTGTCCCTCCGTGTCTGAGGTGATTCACTTTCTGTTGCTGGCATGATTCCACTCTGTACAAAGAACTTATTGCTAATGAACTCTGCCTGCCCAGACCCCAGGTGACTTTCTGTCCACTAAGCTACAAAAAAAGTCTTTCCCCTTTTCTCTATAGCAAATGAAATTATAATGTAAAATAGAAAGATTTTGGTTTAGACTCAGTTCACAGTGACAAATCATTTATTACCTAGACCCAAGAAAATTACTATAAACCAATTATAAAATCAGTCACTACTTCCATTCCACTGAGATGAACAAAGAGCCATTCTCAGATGACAAGTCAACAAAAGTTATTTCCAGAATTGCAAACCTCATTACAAAATTTTTGGTTTTACAGCTTTTAAATGACAAAACAATTTAATGGATTTAGTTGGTAGAAAGACGTCATAAGAAGTTGACTGCACACTTCCATAGGACCTAGGACGGTTGACCACAAATGTAAGGAACTTCACAACAGTAATTTCACCTTTCTTAATAGCTACGTTAAGGTACAATAATTTTTAGGCAAACATAGAATATTCAAGCAACTCAAACATCTGATTGCTTTTACATTTCAAACACTCAGAAATATTTGAACTTGAACTCTAAAATAAATAGAAATATACAGAGAAGACAAAGAAAAAAAATAATGGGTTTAGCTAAGTTATTCAGAAAACAAAAGACCATTTAGACCATTTTCTGATTACAATCAGGCAAAAATTATGTGAAAAAGGAAGAGAGACAAAGAGCCAACCCTGAGCATTGAAATAAAAAGCCACAAATAAGTGAAAAATTCTTATTCCAAACACAGTCAGGTTTTCTGAACAAGCTAGGGAAGATTGTACCAGGTCAAAATAACAAAACTGAACACCTAAGCATGATTTGTATCATTGTGAAAGCATCCATCATGTCCAAATTACAGTCAGTCTGATTTTGCAATTATAATTAAATGTGTCCTGCTCATCAGTATTGTTGCACATTTCAATAACATTTTTAACAGCTTCATTGTTTTCCCTGGATCATCCAGAAACACACAGGTCAAACTATTTATAAAAGTATTCTCACTAAATGTGTTGAAGGAAATAATTGGTGATGAAAAATACTGAATATATCAAACTCAGTTTACTGTCATTAGGATTATGTGCTAAAAGTTAAAACTACAGCATTTTGCATTACATGTTAAATCTGGTTATAGCAAATTGAAAGAAAATACTGTACAAGCACTTCTGATGGTTTTTTTTACTAAGTATAAAGTCATAATTTTATATTCCAGTAAATATAAGTGATTAACCTAGCTACAAAGCACACAAGCATATATCTAATGCCCAAAATGTTACACAAGAGACATCATACAGTCACTGATGAACGGTGATTACCATGGTGAGGAGAATGAACAAACAATCCATTGAAAAGCAAAATTGTCAAAATGACCTATTCCCTCTCGCTATCCCTCCAACACCCTGTTATTCAGCACTGCCCTGTATATGGAGTGACTATGTCTGGCAACATCCATGCAGCCATTTGCAGGATTTCATATAAACTTGGTTACTAAGGTTATATTCTGTTTTTATTTTACCAAGTGCCGTGTTACTTCAGTTATCCCCCTTCATCATCAACAGCACCTGAAAGTGAAAAAAATCTAAGTCTATTTCCGTTCACTTCATATACGATATATGTCTCTATTTTGCTGTTATCAGATTTTGTCCATTTCTCATGTCTCCTGTGTCCGGCAAGGGTCATTTTACTTGTATTTGATTTTCTGGTTTTCCATAATTAAGCTGAAATTTTGAGATCCCGAAGAGACTTTTTTTTAATGCATTCAGCTTAGCACGTGTGCATATATACACATGTATATATCTATAGATATTAAGAATGCTCAAAAGAGTTCAAAATACAGTGAAACAAGTTTTCCTTGTCTAATCAACTAATTTTAGCCTCTAATTATTATTATTAATATGTAATTCTACTGTATTTCTTCCTAGCATCATTATGGTAGCATTTATATGGACACCTTACAAACAAGCAATCTGTCAATCTTCTCTGGAAGTCTCTCCAGAGGCCCAGCCTGCAGCCTGGCGATGTGAAAAGGAAAAGTTATGGAGTATCAAAAACTGTCCCTGCACCTTGATGTTCTTTCCAGTGTTGCACTGGATTGTGTAACTTCCTGTAGTATCTCTAGAATCTCATTATTCCAGTGAATTATAGAGGTTTCATACAACATTTAAAGACGTATGGCACTTTCAAGATTAGATCTGTTTCTTTGCTTTTGTTTTGGCTCTTTTTAGCTTTTTGTTGTGTAGAACGAATGCATTAACTGCACTCAAGCACAAGACATTGAACTGGTATCTTGCCAGGTACTGTATTAAAAGTGAAGCCCAGGAAATGAGTCTGTGGAGCAATTATGCATGAAATGTCTTTTAAATATATTTATTCATTACTACTAATAAAAAAGCTTGTCTGTAGATGATTCTTTCATTTGTTTGAGATGTTAATATTTCTAACTGTCCAAACCATAAGCATTTCCTCTTGAAAATTATGTTCTTATGGTTATTTAGAGAAAATTATTTCAGAAAATGAAGCTATGTCATTCTATTTAGATAGTTACATGTAATCTCTAACATAGTAAACTGCAACATTCATGCACCAGTTTTTTCCAGCCTAATATTTGGCAGTCATTGACATTAACGAGGCAGACCTTCCAATCACACAGCAAGTATTATTACTATTTCACAGATGATAGAATTGAGGTAAAGAGAAACAAAAAAAGACAAATAGCTCCAGGGTATCCTTCCTTTAGAAAAATATTCCAAGTTCGGGACTTGCAGGCCTGAAATAAGATCACAGCTACACTATTTTCCTGTAGATTCCAAATTATTAACAGATCACTGTCATCACAGAGTCAATTGTACTATAAGGAAAATATGTCCATTGCACTGGATATTCACAGATAGTAACACACAATTTAGATTTCACTTGAGAACTATTTGAACATTTCTATGGTAAAAACACAATCACTATTAAGTGTTGAATTTCATCCTCGTAATGAATTTGACCC